CCCCCCCCCCAACCCAAGCCCAACCTACAATCCAGAAAAAAAAAAAAAAAAAAAAAAAAAACGCATCTTCATCTTCCCCGACCCCCCCTTCCCTGCAACCCACCCCTTTCTTCCCCTCCCGTCCCCCCCCCCCACCCACTCGAGCCCAATCTGCAACCCATAAAAAAATAAAAATAATAAAAAAAAAAACGCATCTTCATCTTCTCCGACCCCCCTTTCCTGCAATTAATTAAATTACCAAATTACATTCACGAGGATTTCGCACACTTGTCAATTGAAATTTAAATATACCATTGTCATAAAAAAAAATAGTGCAGGGAAGAGGGTGGGTGCTGAGGAGGTGGAAGATGGGTGCATGCACGATGGGTTTGGGGAAGACAGAAGGGGGAAGAAAAGGGTGGGGGGAAGACGAACTGGGGTTTGGGGAAGACGGGAGAGGAAGAAAGGAAAGGGAGGGAGGGTTGTGGGGTGGGGTGAGGGAATGATGGATGTGCAGAGGAGGGAGGGAGGAAGAATGGATCGTCAGGGGTTGGGATTTATTTTTTTAGGGTAATTTTTTTTATTAATATTTTAATAGAAAGTGGACCTCGTCTCAAGCCACATTAGTATTTAACAGAAAAATTGACTGACAACTGACTGAAGGTATAACATTGCAACAAATTCAAAAATAAGATATGACATTGAAACTTTTTAAAGACGAGGTATGAAACTATTAATGACCCAATAGTTGAGGTAGTTTTATGTAATTTACCCTTTTATTTAATAAATGAATAGAATATAAAAGACATCTAAAATTAATAATGAATACGATAAAATTTCAGATTTTTTAGAATCTAGACACATTCAAATTTTCATCCTTTTTGTTAAAATGTTTGGATTTCGGAATTTTGGGTCGGAATCCGTACTTGTATTTTAACACATTCCACCCAAATCACACTACTATACGTAGTGTATTAGGTACACGTACAATTTTTTTTTTCTGTTCTATATATCCTGAAATAACTTGAACTAGATAAAATGCATTTGGCTAGCAATGTCTGAACAGCGTTTGTTCCATGATAGCAAAAGAACCTCGGTACAACTTGTGCATTTGGCCACTACAGCAGTATGCATATAACAAGTATCTCTCACTCTGAGATGATAACCAAGTCTTGGAAACCCGCGAGTGGAGCACCAACCCAATGTATAAATGGGTGTCTAATCACCCCCCAATCATCTCAAATGATTGTGATCGCATGCTGGAATTAGAGGCCTCTGAGAACCAGACATTAAAATCTCAATAAGGACACAATCTTTTCATACCACTGAATATAAATGTGGATCGTAAGTGACCCGACAATATCCAAGGGAACATGCACATATGGACAATGTAGGAGAGAAAGAAAAAAAAAAGCAAATAAATGAGTAGTGGCTAGAACTAGTGGTTTGCTGATTTTGTTTGCCCTTCATGTTGAAACGAAAGGGGATCATAAGCATTGGTCTAGGCAATTATAGCAAGCATTATTTAAGGGAGAGGCATAGGAGTTGTCACGAGTGTTTCACATCTTGAAAAAAATGTGTGATTGGACTCCAATTCAGTACAAGTGCAAATGTGGTGTGCCGGCCGGCCAGTGAAGTGTGGGGAGAGTGGTTTGTGTGCATGTCCCACAAAGGCTGCGAACATGTTGAAACTGGCCAGACATTTGTCAAGGGAGAAAACAAAAGCTGTTCGTCATATCTTTCCTTGTCTGATTTTCTTTCTTTTCTTTCTTGATTTTTATCTAAGAAGACGAAAGCTTATTTCTTTTGTTTTTCTAGTCGACATAATTTGTCTAAATTACTACCAAAGAATTAATATTTCTAAAATGCCTTCATTGGAATCCCTTCATTTGAATAGGGATTTAACTTTATCCAAAATCCGTGGAGCACTATTCCTTGCTAGCTAGCTAGCCTCATAAAGGTAACTCGCTAGGTATACTTTAATTAGTTTACCTTAGCATGAAGATAATAACTAAATTGCATATATTCAGTTTCCCTGGCTTCTAGTGCAAAAAAAATCAAAAGCAAACTTTGTATTGTATTCAGATTTATAGATTTTTTTACGAAGTCTTTTTTTTTTTTTTTCTCTTTTAAATCTACGAAGTCTATCATTAAACTCTCAAAAATGTGAGAAGTCTCTCATTAAAAAGTATCTAGAATTCATGAAATTTCTAGTAGTCAATAAAAGTCTGCGAAATTTACAAAAGCCTTTCACATAAAAAGCAAATCTAGGTACATATGGAAATCTATATGAGCTGACAGCAATCAAAATTGTATTTCCTGCAGCTTCTCCAGATCAATAGCCGGCATCGGAAGGGGGGGTGGGTTTGGGTGGCGGCAGAAAGATGGTTTTATGAGGATGCGATACGGTTATGATGAGTATGACAAGGTGGTGGCAAAAGATGTGATATAATGCTGACGGAGGCAGTAGCAGATGTGAAATCTCGTTCCTGGATTTCACTATTATAATCTATGTATTTGTATTATTGAGATTTTATATTATTTTTCGAGAAATTATATTAATTTATTTGGATTTAGATTTTAATTAAATTAGTTATGAAGTTGGAAGTTGAAAGTAATTATCTAAAATTCGTTGACCTTTCGAGGTCACAAGTAACGTATTCAAATAGATCTTGAAACTAGTAGCGCATAGGTGAAAGCCGTTTACGAATCCGGATTAAAACGGTATAGATACGGGCATTTGAAGTTGTGTTACTAAACTATAGATTTTAAATTTATTTCGGGAAAGAGGCCAATCACATTTATGTGAGTTAAGGGAACCAATCAGAAGGGGGGAAGAAGGAGGGAAAGGAGAGAGGGGAGGAAACACCCAAGCAACCTTGATCCGATTTCAAACCCCAACCCAGTTCCTTGATCCGGTTGTATCTCTTCCTTCCGACGTTCGATTGAGGTGATTTTGGTTTCTATGGAAAGCCCTCAGCGAACCCAACATCTTTGTGTTATTATATCTCTCAATTTCCAACCCAATTTTACAAGCCAAAGCCACAAACTCCACAGTTTTCCTGCAAGTTTTCTCATGTTATGGTGATTCCGACAACGATTACTGCCGATAACCACCACCAATAGACTCCCCTCAACCCTTGGAGCAAGGCCCAAGCATGGGATGATGCGTCGGAGTTCATTTTGACGATGAATTGAGGAACACCCATTTCTAGGTTTTCCAGTGGGTTCGAGGGCAATTGAAGCTTTTCCCAGAAAAATTGGACTTAGCCACAACTATGAAACTTGTTCCACTCACTAAGATCTATTTTCCTGTAAAATTTGGTAATTTTTTGGAAATAGTTGAATTTTCGGGCTAGTTGGGGTGGCCGACCGCCACCCGCAGTGGCGCGTGCGGCGGGCGTGGCAGTGGGCTAAGGATGTCTTTCTAAGTCCAAGTAAATGGCCTGAATTCATGATTGATATCTGTATGAAATGGTTTGGTTGTTTGAACTTAGTTTCATTATGATACATCACTTGATCAAAATTTGAATTGACTATCTGACTGTTGGATCGTCACCAAACTTTAATGCATTATAGAACGTAATATTTGAGGATAGCTGGAACTAACATATCAAGAATCTGACTTAACGATCTTCCCAAATTAGATTTCTAAGTTAGTAAAATTAATTGTTAACCGCCACCTAATTCTAGCAATTGGCGGAGATCCGACCGTCGGATCATGATGAGATTTTAGTATGTTGATCTTTGAGTATAATGTGGACCTTAGGAAGTTACAGATCTAGATTACGATGTGCAGATCTTTTGGATTAAATTGCTAGGGTGTGGACCCCACCATTGTTTTTTTTTTTTTTATCAACAGGTCTGGAACCATTTGAATTACTAAAATTAGTATTACTAGAGACTCAGTGAAGCTTTGCGGACTTGCCTTGCACTACTACAATATAGGCTATCACCGGCGAAGCAAAAAGCGACAAGAAATCCAATTTTTGTCGGAAATATGGCAAAAATCCAACATAAAACAATGTAATGTCGGATTATAATTGCGACACTAATGCTATCGTCACAAAAGGGCTTCAATGTCGGTTTGTTCGCTTAATCCGTCACTACACAACGTTAGTTAAAAGCGACACTAATGTTGACGTCGGTTTAAAGCGACGTATACTTCAACATTATGTCAGTTTAAAGCGACGCATACTTCAACATTACGTCAGTTTAAAGCGACGCATATTTCAACATTACGTCGGTTTAAAGCGACGTGTACTAGTAATTCAACTATAAAATATTCAACCTACCATCGGTTTTAACCAACATCGTGATAAAATTAAACAAATAAAATATCCCTTAACCGACGTCAGATAACAATTAAATAAATAAAATATGCAAACTAGTAACGGTTTTAACCGACACCACCTTTGTTAATAATAATAAAAATATCTAGAAATCTGTCTCTGCATTTGTTTTCAATTAATTGTACCTAAAAAAAAAAAATTATATAACCAAAATAATAAATTTCAATAATTTATTCAAGAATTCAACAGAGGTCTTTAGGTGTAGAATTTCTTGTTAAATGCATTCTATTTCATATAAACAAGTATGTACAAAGCTATTAGAGAACCAGTTACAAGATGAAGATTAAAAAACGAACAATTACATACAATACTAATCAGAGCTCCATGCTTGCGTATAATACTAGCAGCTGCCATGATGCGTTCCCGTGCTTGCCTTTGTCAAAGACCACATATTCTGTAGCTCCATGCTGCCATATATAATACTAGTAGCTCCATGCAATCATGCTTGCCATCAAATCAGTGCTCCAATACTTTACTACTTCAACATTAGGGTTCTAATCTCTATAGATTAAATTCAGGTTTTATACCTTTCAAAAATTATGGATCTGAAATTTCCAGTGTCTTGCTCTTCAGATCCAAAATGAACATGCGTGAATTTTTATATGGATTTTCGAACTATTGATCTTACTAAACAAGAACATAAAAGAGGAGCTCAGTGGAGATTATAGCTTTAGTGAGTCATGCATTAGACTGCTTAGCATTCACATATTAATAGCTACATGGAAGGTTATAAATACATCAAGAGTTCCACTTATTCTTCCTACCCTTTCACCGCGAAATCATCCAATTAGAATAGATTTTGTTGTTATACCTTTAAATGACAGATCTAGAACGGAGACAATTCTCTTGTGGTTTTTCCTTGAGATGCGATTTGGGGCTGTACCAGTGGTTGCATCGTCTTTTTTTTTTTTTTTTGTAGAGATCTTAGGTCCCTGCAAAAGAAACAACACAAGAATGAGGAGTTGAAGATTTTTTTCTTGTATGGTATATTTCAATCCGTGAACCTGAGTGCATGAATCGGCAAGGGAGGGTGAGAAGTTTACCTGAGTGTGTCGGCACCAAGATCGGTGTTGCTACCCTTCTGGTGATGCAGTAAATCCATGGTTGCAAGGTCTTATGGGTTGATGATGGAAGATTAAGGTTTGGTTTGCAGAAAATGAGGTTAGGGTTTGAGAAAATGTGGAAAGAGAAGCTTGCAGTTTTAGGGTGTGCTTGGAAGAAGGGAGAGATAAATGAGGGAGGTGAGCCTCTTGAAATAGGGAGACTGCTATCCTCTTTTTCGTTTAAAAAATGGGGGGAAATATCCCGCCCAAAAGAGAAGAAGATGGAACGATAGGAAATGGAGAAGTCGAGGAAAAAGAGAGAGAATAGGAATGAGAGAAAGAAGGATGAAAGAAGCGTGAGTGGGTGGGTACAGAGAGAGACATTATGGAGACGGAAAAGAGGGGGGGGTGAACAAGAACCACTTAAAAACAAATGTGAGAGAAATGAGGCATGTGTGTCAGAGAGAGATAAAGAACCCATGTGAGGAACCGACCAAAGAGAAAGAAATTAAAAATGATATGACACTGATGTGTGTGTAAGAGAGAGAGAGAGTCACGTGAAGTCTGACATTCTTTTGTTGGAATCACAACATCGGTTTAAATTAATGTTGGTGTCGGTCTAAACCGACACTAACTTCTGACACACTTTTTAAAATTCACGTAGCGTCGGTTTAATGAAACTCGCGTCGAATTAAAAGATGATAGCGTCGCTTAAAACTGACACCAACATTTTAAGATTTTAATAAATAAAATACTTAATAAAAAAACAGAAATATAATTTTATTATTATATATCATCACATTCTAATTGAAACATAGTCTAATTAATACTTAAAATACATAAAATAATTAATATACTTTAACTCCAATTTTGATTATTTTTTATAGCTACACTTATTGATCCTATATGAATACAATAAATGAATTCAATCTTCAATTTAAAATATTTACACTAGTGGATACCACAAAATCTTATGTTATACTCAATGAAAGTATAAATAAACTCTAAGTGTTAGTGAATCTATCGTTTTGATGGGATACGCATATTACGAAACTAATTTCAACGATCCAACTACTAAACTTGTTTGTATATGCTTCAAGATCACAGATACCAAAAATCGCAAAAAAAAAAAAATTCAGAGATCAAGTAACAGTACAGAACTTTTCGATAGTTATAAACGAAAAATCACGATTTAACGATTATTTTAACACCGATTTTGATGATTTTTTACAGCTACACTCCTTCATCCTATATGAATACAATGAACTAATTTGATCGTCAATTTAAAATATTTACAGAAGTGGATATCACAAAATCTTATGTTATACTTAATGAAAGTATAAATAAACTCTAAGTGTTAGTGAATCTATCGTCTTGATGGGATACGTATCCTTTGAAACTAATTTCTACAATACAACCGTCAAAATTGTTTATATATGCTTTGAGATCGTATATTCCAAAAATCTCAAAAAACAAACATTCAGAGATCAAGTAATGACACAAAACTTTTCGACGGTTATAAACGAAAAATCACTATTTAACGGTTATTTTAACTCCGATTTAGATGATTTTTTACAGCTACGCTCCTTGACCCTATATAAACACAATGAATGAATTCAATCTTCAATTTAAAATATTTACACTAGTGGATACCACAAAATTTTATGTTATACTTAATGAAAGTATAAATAAACTCCAAGTGTTTGTGAATCTATCGTTTTGATGGGATACGCATATTACGAAACTAATTTCAACGATCCAATTGTCAAACTTATTTGTATATGCTTCGAGATTGCATACACCAAAAATCGCAAAAAACAAACATTCAAAGATCAAGTAACGGTACAAAACTTTTCTACAGTTATAAATGAAAAATCACGATTTAACAGTTATTTTAACTTCGATTTTGATGATTTTTTACAGCTATACTCCTTCATCCTATATGAATACAATGAACTAATTTGATCGTTAATTTAAAATATTTACAGAAGTGAATACCACAAAATCTTATGTTATATTTAATGAAAGTATAAATAAATTATAAGTGTTAGTGAATCTATCGTTTTGATGGGATACGTATTCTACGAAACTAATTTCAACGATCTAACCATCAAACTTGTTTATATATGCTTCTAGATCACATACGCCAAAAATGGCAAAAAAGAAACATCCAGAGATCAAGTAACGGGACAAAACTTTTTAACGGTTATAAACGAAAAATCACTACTTAACGGTTATTTTAACTCCGATTTAGATGATTTTTTACAGCTACACTCCTTGACCCTATATGAACACAATGAATGAATTCGATCTTCAATTTAAAATATTTACACTAGTGGATAACACAAAATCTTATGTTATACTTAATGAAAGTATAAATAAATTCTAAATGTTAGTGAATCTATCGTTTTGATGGGATACACATTCTACGAAACTAATTTCAATAATCCAACCATCAAACTTGTTTATATATGCTTCGAGATCGCATATGCGAAAAAGTGCAAAAAAAAAAAAAAAAAACATTCAGAGATCAAGTAACGAGACAAAACTTTTCAACAGTTATCAACGAAAAATCACGATTTAACAGTGATTTTAACTTAGATTTTAATGATTTTTATAGCTGCACTCCTTGACCCTATAGGAATACAATGAATGAACTCAATCTTCAATTTAAAATATTTACACTAGTGGATACCACAAAATCTTATGTTATACTTAATGAAAGTACGAATAAACACTTAAGTGTTAGTTAATCTATTGTTTTGATGGGAAATGCATTCTACTAAATATGTTTGTATATACTTCAAGATTGCATACGCCAAAAATTGCAAAAAACAAACATTCAAATATCACGATTTAACGGTTATTTAAAAAAAAACTAAAAAGAAAAATTGGAAGAACGAATAAGAAAAATGCAAGAGATGAAGAAGAAAACACGGGGGAGAGTATATAAAAACCATCAATTTGTCGTTTACAACCGACACCGGGTTTCAAAATATTTAAAAAAAAACTAAAAACTATGTTGCTCAGAACCAATGCAGGCTTTAAAATATTTAAAAACAATACTTTATGTCGCTTAAAAGCAACATCCATACTTTGTGTCGCTTAAAGGCGACACTGTTTTGTTTAAAGTGACGCCAGTATTTAAAAATTATTAAAACATATGTCGGTTATAAGCGACATTAAATGTTTACGTCGGTTTAAAAGTAACGTAGACATTTTATGACGCTTATAAGCAACAGTAAATCCAACGTCATGTTTAGTTAGTGTCGCATCTGTCTTGTCCGCCACTATATTATATTAAACCGACACCACCTACTGACACTATAAGGCCTTTTTGTAGTAGTGTCGATGAGTGACTTTAATAAATGTGATATGGTGATTACCCAATTCTTTATATTAATATCCTTTGTGGATATGACATGGTTTTGTAAATGTGTTTTTTGTTAAAATGTGATTCTTTTATAATTGGCTATCGATCTATTTTTATTAAATGTGACTTGATTCATGGATTGGTAATATTTGTGGAAAAAGTGATTCGAATTGCATATTGAAATGTTTTGTAAATTAAGGGCTAGTAGGGGACTATAACCCTGCTTGGTTAATTCGTATTGGGGGGTCACTAGTGGTTTTGCTTGGTTAATCTGCATTGGGGGACCATACTATATATGGATCGCGCTTGGTTAATCCGTGTTGGGCAATCCTTATGGCCATTTATACTTAGGGGTGATCATGCTTGGTTAATCCGCGTTTGGTGATCACTGCCTAACAATTATGTAGGTGTGACTCTGCTTGGTTAATCCGTGTTGGGGGGTCACTACCTACCTGATTATCTTGGCTTGGTTAATCCGCATTTTGGGGGGGGGGGGGGAGGGTCACTAGTGGTCCTGCTTGGTTAATCTGCATTGGGGGACCATACTATATATGGATCACGCTTGGTTAATCTGCGTTAGGCGATCCTTATGGCCATGTATGCTTAGGAGTGATCACGCTCGGTTAATTCGCATTGGGTGATCACTTCCTAACAGCTGTAGAAGTGACTCTGCTTGGTTAATCCGCATTGGGGGGTCACTACCTACTTGGTTACTTTCTCAGGGGTGGCTCTGCTTGGTTAATCCGCTTTGGGGGGCCAATTCCTGTTTGGTTATTTATGCACGCTTCGACTGAATTGCGTCACTCTAGCCCTAGTTTTTAATGTACATATTAACGATGGTTTTTAAGAATCTTGTGGGTTGACTTAGAAAAGTCATTGGATGTCTGGGTGACTTTTTCGGAGTTTTCAGCGGCTTGATTATGATTTCATAAGGCAAGATTCTATACTTGATGTTTATGGATTGTGATCGATGGTCTGTTTTCATTGAATATCACATACTTGTATTATTGTCACTCACCTGAGCTTCACAGCTTATCTGAGTGTCTTATTTGCCTAGTGTGTCATCTCTTGATGTAGGCATGATTGTACATATGACAGGTCTAGGTAGATTACGAGAAGCAGCTTGGTATTTTCGTTCCGTTGAGTGGTCCGGAACTCGAGATTGTTGGATTCCGTTGAGTGGTCCGGAATCCTTGCTCTTTCTCATATCCATAAGGTGAGTCTAGAACCCTAGATTTGAGTGGATGGGAATTACCCCTAATAGACCTTGTGAATATAAATTAGAATTACCATGTTTTTTACTCAAAATCCAAGTAGGGAATTATATAGAATTCCTTAGTTAAATTCGTGAAATGATAAGTTATCGCATTGATTGATTAACGTAAATAAATGCTAAGATCATGCATTTTTAATTCATGAATTGATTAATTGATGGGATTGTGGAATGACTTCGGATACGGATGTTATTATTATGCTTATTCTAGTTGTTCAATGTGGCTTGAGAAGAGTTTTGTGCTTCATCATTGGTTCTTGAACATATTGTATGGTATGCATTGTGATATATTGTTGAGACATAGCCATTTATGTGATAAATGTTCGAGTATAGTGAAATGGTGAACTACGAATGGCTTGATCTCTATTGAGGGTACGTAGACAGTCTAACGAGGAGGTTAGATGCAGTTATAAAGTATACAAAAAATCACTACTCAAGTTGAGGCTTGAGTGTGCTTGGTGCATATTTTAGAGCCAGGGTTTGTTAGATATACGACTACTTGGTGACGTTACATGTCGATCCTGGACGTATGTCAGGATCGGGAAGTGACAGCAGAGGTGATGACAGTGGCAGCGATAGTTGTTGGTATTACAGTAGCGAAGACGGAGTCATGGTTAGGTGGTGGTGATGACATGGTGTGGTTGAAGTGAAAATGGTGATCCTTATTCATTACATCATGGTGGTGGTGGACTATCAAAGTCTACGAAAGTTCATCAAAATCTTAAGGCGAGAGGTTGAATTGCTATGACAAAAAAAATATATAATAT